GATAATACGTGGGTAATCTAAGAACCCAAAGAATTAGTTCACAAAATAACAGACATCCAATGAGTCATTATTTTTGGATGTCTTCACCCTAATATATAAATGTAATTTATAAATTTATAGCCAGGGGGCTGGTGCTATGGCATAGAGGGTTAAGCTGCCTGCAGTGCCAGCACCCAATATGGGTGCCTGTTTGAGACCTGGCTGCTCCACTTCCAATCCAGCTCTCTGCTGTGGCCTGGGAAAGCAGTAGAAGATGGCCCAAGTCCTTGGGCCCCTACACCAGCATGGGAGACCCCAAGGAAACTCCTGGCCCCTACCTTTGGATGAGCGCAGCTCTGGCCATTGTGACCAATTGGGGAGTGAACCAACGGATGGAAGACCTCTCTCTGCTTATCATCTCTCTGTGAAACTCTTTCAAATAAATAAATAAATGTTTTTTAAAAAAATCCATAGCCAACCGCCGGTGCCGCGGCTCACTAGGCTAATCCTCCGCCTAGCGGCACCGGCACACCGAGTTCTAGTCCTGGTCGGGGCGCCAGATTCTGTCCCGGTTGCCCCTCTTCCAGGCCAGCTCTCTGCTGTGGCCAGGGAGTGCAGTGGAGGATGGCCTAAGTGCTTGGGCCCTGCACCCCATGGGAGACCAGGAAAAGCACCTGGCTCCTGGCTCCTGCCATCAGATCAGCACAGTGCGCCGGCCGCAGCGCGCTGGCCGCGGCGGCCATTGGAGGGTGAACCAACGGCAAAGGAAGACCTTTCTCTCTCTGTCTCTCTCTCTCACTGTCCACTCTGCCTGTCAAAAAAAAAAAAAATCTATAGCCAGTATGTGAAATTAAATATAATTATTTGATACACCTACATATTCTGACATGTTTCAACAAAATATTAAAAGACTTTAACCTTTAAATTTCTTTTACTTTTTAAAGTCTCTCACCTACTGCATACAGGTACTTTCTTGCTTTCTTCCGAGGTCGAACCTTGGATGTTTGTAGAAAACTGCAAAACTTGTTCTCTTTGGGAGACTTGCACACCTCACAGTACTCTTTCAAAAGTGTTTGCAATGCAACTCGAAGATTAAAATCAGATACTCCTAAAGCAATGTTCAAAAACACGTTTTAAGCATGTAATATTGAAAAGACATTTTCTGTACAGACATTTATAGAAGACATTTCTATAAAGATAAGATTCATTTACGAATCAAGAATTAAAAACAAATCGTCAAATAATGTTTGTTTCCCACAATACCAAATATTTTTTCATTGCTACTGAAAAGCATAATTCCCTTAAATCAAAGATTGTTATTTTTTAAAAAGATACTTTATAATTTGAAAACATATATATATATATGAAGATTCCCAAATAAAGACAGTAAAATAAAACAGGATCACAATTATCTAATACAATGAAATCTAGTAACAAAAGGACATAAAGTTATTATGTTAACAGAGTCTGCCGTCTATCAGAACACATTGGTAGCCAGTCCACACTAGTGGGATACATCCCTGGTTTTGTTATGTAGACCCTAATACAAGATCACTAACAGGATCTTCAAAAAGAGATGTGAGTCCAAGTGCCTAAGCGTGGACCTCATATGCCTTTATTCTTCCACCACCCTCATGCCTCAGGTTAGAAAAAAGTGATGAGAACATAGCCCTCAAATTTTAGATTATAGAAAACAAAGTAGTCACACTAGAGAGAAAGGATGTCAAGAATTAGCTCTTAGGTTATGAGAATAGAGTGTGTACAGAGTTGCCTAAGTTAGGTATGTGAAGATTTCAAGTAAGGGGCCGACACTGTGGTGTAGTGGGTAGATTTTATGAGCTATTGGTTTTATACTACAGTATTACCTCATCTTTTTTAAAATTTTTATTTATTTGAGAGACAGAGAGACAGAGACAGACAGACACAGCTCCCATCATTGATTCACTTCCCAAATACCCACAATGGCCAAAACTGGGACAGGACCAGGAACTCAATCCAAGTCTTTCACATGTGAGGCATAAACCAAATTAGTTGAGCCATTTCTGCTGCCTCCCAGGGTCTGCATTAGCAATAAACTAGAATCAGTACCTGGAGCTAGGAATCAAACCCAAGTCCTTGGAAGCAAAATGAAGGAATTCCAATCGTGCTCTAAATGTTCCCTCCCTGAATTATCATTTAGTTTAATTTTCCACAAACTTTCTGAAGCTCTCTCATACCATTCTAGGGTGATTCTCTAAAGTGCAAGAAATTGATTGGCATATTATCATATATCTAATTAATATTAAATTGCCTGAATGATTCCAGTAGTAAATAAAAAAAAATCAAGAAAAAATATCTACACATTTCTTCACAGAATTACATCTTCAATGCATAATAGTATATTAAATTAAATAGTATATTAAATTTATAGTAGTTATATTTGTAATCCTATCATAACCTAATGTTTCAATGCATGACAACAGTAAAACAATATCTTGAAACCAAATCTAACATGTTTTTTTATTTTATTTTTAAAAGATTTTATTTATTTGAGGCTCGTGTTGTAGTGTAGCGGGTAAAGCTGCTGCCTGCAGTGCTGGCATCCCATATGGGCACCAGTTTGAAGCCTGGCTGCTCCACTTCCAATCCAGCTCTCTGCTATGGCCTGGGAAAGCAGTAGATGGCCCAAGTATTTGGGCCCCTGCACCCGTGTGGGAGATCTGAAGTAAACTCCTGGTTCCTGGCTTCAGATTGGTGCAGCTCTAGTCATTGTGGCCATTTGGGGAGTGAATCTTTAAAAAAAAAGATTTTATTTATTTATTTGAGAGGTAGAGTTACAGAAAGAGAGAGGGAAAGAGAGAAAGAAATGTCTTCCATCAAATGGTACATTCCCCAAATGGCCACAACTGCCGGAGCTGGGCTGATCCAAAATAGGAGTGAGGAGCTTCTTCTGGGTCTCATGTGGGTACAGAGGACCAAGGATTTGGGCCATCTTCTACTGCTTTCCCAGGCCATAAGCAGATAGCTGCATAGAAGAGGAACAGCTGGAACATGAACCGGCACCCATATGGGAGGCAGGCGCCATAGGCAAAGGCTTAGCCTATTATACCACAGCACTGGCCCTAAAGTTTTTTTAAAGTAAGTTTCAATATTGTCATTTTTCTAATACAAAGACTAAAATTTTTAAACTATGAAGTCACTATATCAATATAAAATTAATTTTATAATAAGGGGCTGGCGCTGTGGCACAGTGGGTTAACGCCCTGACCTGAAGCACTGCCATCCCATACGGGTGCCGGTTCTAGTCTTGGCTGCTCCTCTTCCGACCCAGCTCTCTGCTATGGCCTGGGAAAGCAGTAGATGATGGCCCAAGTCCTTGGGCCCCTGCACCCACGTGGGAGACCCGGAAGAAGCTCCTGGCTCCGGATCGGCGCAGCTCCGGCCGTTGAGGCCAACTGGGGAGTGAACCATTGGATGGAAGACCTCTTTCTCTCTCTCTGCCTCTCCTCTGACTTTCAAATAAATAAATAAATATTTTTTAAAAATTTATAATGAGAACTTACAGGAGTTGCTCAGTCTTGTTTTTTAGACCACACAATTTTCTCAAATGTTAATTCTTGCTAAATTTTTTAGGGTGGCATGAGGAAATTTTATTTTTTAAAAAACATTTATTTATTTGAACGGCAGAGTTAAAGAGAGAGAGACAGAGAGAGAATCTTCCATCCACTCGTTCACTCCCCAAATGGCCGCAAGGGCCAGAGCAGGGCCTATCCAAAGCCAGAAGCCAGGAGCTTCTTCCAGGTCTCCCACGTGGGTGCAGGGGCCCAAGCATTTGGGCTATTTTCCACTGCTTTACCAGGTACATTAGGGAGCTGGACCAGAGGTGGAGCAGCAGGGAATCAAACCAGCATCCATATGAGATGCCAGTGCTACAGGCAGCAGCTTAACCTGATATGCCACAGTACCAGACCCAGAAACTTTTTTATAAAAATTATTTTAGGAGCCGGTGTTGTGGCATAGCCACCTGCAACACCTGCAACACCAGCGTCTCATATGAGCACTGGTTCGAGTCCCAGCTGCTCTGCTTTGGACCCAGCTTCTGCTAATGGCCTGAGAAAAACAGCAGAAGATGGCCCAAGTGCTTTAGCCCCTACTACCCACGTGTAAGACCCAGAGGAAGCTCCTGGCTCTTGGCTTCAGCCTGGCCCGGCACCAACAGTTACAGCCATCTTGGGGAGTTGAACCAGTGGATGGAAGACTTGTCCCTGTGTAGCGCTGACTTTCAAATAAATAAATAAATCTTTAAAAATTATTTTAAGTCATTAAGGTTTTTTTTAAGTATTTATTTATTTATTTTAATTTTATTTGATATACAGAGAAATCTTTTATGTGCTGGTTCACTTCCAAACACCTTCAACAGCCAGAGCTTGGCTAGGCCAAAGCCAGGAGCCCAGCATTCAATCAGTATCTCCAAGGATGGCGTCAGGGGCTCAAGTACTTGAGTCATCACCTGCTGTGCTTCCCAGGTGTGCATTAGGAGGAAGCTGGAATCAGAAGCGAAGCAAAGACTCAAAGTAGACATTCCAATATGGGATACAGAAGTTCCAAACAATGTCTTAACTGTTGTGCCAAATGACTGCTTTTTAAAAAATTTTTTATTTGTATAAGGTGAACAAATTTCATGTATTTCATATATACAGATTTAACAGCATATTGACTCAAGAGGAAATCTTATATCAAAATGATTAGTATTACCAACAATAGCAGTTGTTACATTAACTCTCAGTAATTTTATCTATAACGCTAATTTTCTTTAGTCATTAATCTTAAAAAAATTGATTAAAATAATGGGTAGAGGAGCTGGTGCTGTGGCATGGTGGGTTAAGCTGCTGTCTGCAACACTGGCATCCCATATGGGTGCCAGTTCATCCTACTTTTGATCCAGATCCCTGCTGATGCACCTGGGAAAGCAGTGGAAGATGGCCCAAGTCCTTGTGCCCCCGCATCCATGTGGGAGACCCAGAAGAATCTCCTGGCTCTGGGCTTCAGTCTGGCCCAGCTCTGGCTGTTGTGGCCATTTGGGGAGTGAACCAGAGGATGGATGACCTCTTTCTCTCTCTGTAATTCTGACTTTCAAATAAGTAATAAATAAATATTTAAAAAATAGTAATAATGCATAGAATATTTTAAAAAGAATATCTATACATAAACACAAGTGTTGTCTTACACACAGTCATCATTCACTAAATTTCACTGAATTAAAAAAATCAAAGCACTCTACTACATTTCAGAGAAAGTCACTGGACAATGAAATCAACTAACTTGATAATACAGCAAAAAAGTTACCTTCTATATACTTTAAAAGCCTCTGAGATGGTAATAAAGGAAATCGAATCGGGTCTAGCACTTCCACCACATGTTTTCTTCTCTTTCCCAGATCTTTCATAATCCACTGCATTGCAGCTAAGAAGACTTGGTATTCATCCTCAATGCTAAGTTCTTCACTTCGTAAAATTTTGATCAGCTGATCTTTTGTAAGTGCCAGGAATTCTTCCCCACTATGAACCTCCAGGAAATGGACATGAATGTAGTTTTCTGTGAATTCCAAAAGATCATGGCAAGCAATTTGCTCAGCGAACTGAAAGATCCCAATACAGTTCAGTGGATCAATTTGTCCTTTCAGAAATCCACAGCAAAGATTAACAACTTCAGTCAACTGTAGCATGTCTGCTGCAACAATCAACTCTTGAACATTATTCACACCTATGTTCACTATACCTAGGGAAGCAGGGAGACAAAGTCTGTAAAATAAAGACATTCAACCTAACATTCTCAAAAGTTATTATACTTGATTTCACTGATAGTTTAATGTTTGCAGGGTAGACAGATGCTAAAGTAAAGACAATAAAGGATTCGAGGAAAGAGAAAAAATATCAAATGATAACTATATCTAACATTCAAAGAATGTTTACAACAAACCATACACAGCATTGTTTTATACATTAATTTCTTACTACAAGCCCATATGGTGAGTATTAATTCTTTTCAGAAAGTTTAATTTATTTGTCAACAAGTCATATAGTCAAGCAAGTTGCAGGATAGGGATTGCCACCAAATTTCATGCTTTTAACATAAAGTTATATATACATAATAAACATTTACTGTGGCACTGGGGAGAGTAAGACTATTCAATTACGACAAAGCACCACACAATTTTAGTTTTTAATATTAGGTATAACCAAGATTCTACAACATGAGAGGCTATTAAATTCTTAAGTTATATATACTGATTTTTTTTCCCAGAGAGCTTCATTTCCATAATTTACATAATGAATTTTGGAGGACATCAAACAGCCAAGCTTATTTAAAGAAGAAAAAAATCACTGTAACTCTCATACCAAAAAGGATAAACCCTTCTTTTGACCTTATACTTTGTTTTTTTTTTTTAAGATTTTATATATTTATATGAGAGCCAGGTGCCTCCTCCAGGTCTCCCACGAGGGTGCAGGGGCCCAAGTACTTCCTTCCCAGGCCACAGTAGAGAGCTGGATTGGATGAGGAGCATTCAGGGCCAGCGCTGTGGTGCAGTAGGTTAACGCCCTGGCCTGAAGCACCGCCATCCCATCTGGGTGCCGGTTTAAGACCTGGCTGCTCCAAATCTCATCACTGCTCCACTTCCTATCCAGCACTCTGCTATGGCCTAGGAAAGTAGTTGAAAATGGTCCAAGCCCTTGGGACCCTGCACTCGCATGGGAGACCCAGAAGAAGCTCCTGGTTCCTGGCTTCGGATCGGCACAGCTGCGGCCATTGCAGCCAACTGAGGCATGAACCAGCAGATGGAAGACCTCTCTCTCTCTCTGCCTCCCCTCTCTGTGTAAATCTGACTTTCAAATAAATAAATCTTTAAAAAAATAAAAAAAGAAAAGAAAGAGGAGCAGCTGGGACAGGAACCAGTACCCCTAGGGGATGTCAGCACCACAGGCAGAGAGTTAGTCCATTATGCTACAGCTCCTGCCCCATTGACCTTATACCTTTTTTAATTTTACTCTTTTCATAATATTCATACCACTAATTTGTCCAAAGTTTGTACCCCCAGTTTGATTTATAAAGTCTGTTTGGGCAACATTTTCCCCCTCTGAATTCCCAATGCCTGGCACAGACTAGATACTAAAAAAAATTTTTTTAATGAATAAATGGCCAAAGATATTCAGAAGAGAGGAAGAACATAGTTCAGTGAATGTAAACAGGAGGTTTTCCAAAAGAAATGGAATCTAGCAAGGAAGTAAATGGTAGCAGCTGCAGAGAAAACTGAGATTAGAGTTAATTAAATGAAATGGAATTTACTACAAACTTGAATAAGATAAGATCATGGGTTGTGATGGAAGGAGGCTGAATGATTACTACTGGATAATGCCGAGAGTAATAAAAACAATGTCCCACAACTTAATAGGACTGAGAGCACTGTAACATTTACATTTTTTATAATTTATATAATTTAATCTTCACATGAATTATAAAGTGCTATTATTTCCACTTCATAAATATGGAAAACGAGGCTCTTCCAAGCTTATTTCTATTTCATAAATATTGAATCTGTACTACCTATAAAGCTATGTAAAGGCAGAGACAATGTCTGTCTGGTTTATCATCATATCAATCGCTACTATCTGGCTCAAGAAAGGTACTCCATAAACATCCATTGGAAAAAATGATTGACCAGGGGCTGGCACTATGCAGCAAATTAAGTTGTAGCTTGCAATGCCGGCATTCCACATGAGTACTGATTTGAGTCCCAGCTGCTTCACTTCTGATCCAGCTCCCTGCTAATGCACCTGGGAAAGCAGCAGAAGATGGCACAAATACTTGGGCCCCTGCCACCCACACGGGAGATCTGGATAGAGTTTCAGGCTCCTGGCTTCAGCCTGGCTGCTGCAGCCATTTGAAGAGAGAACCAGCAAATGGAAGATCTCTATCTCCCTCTCTCTCTTATTATAACTCTGCCTTTCAAATAAACAAAGAAGTCTTTTTAGAAAAAGATTGACTAAGGTTAAATGAAATACCTAGTCTCACACAGTCAATTAACGGCAGAGCCTGATCTCAATCTCAGGTTACTTGATTCTAAGTGAAATACATAAAAACCTAAGGTGAGGGGCCAGCATTTTGTGCATTTTGTGGCCAGCTGGGGAAAGAACCAGCAGCTGGAAAAGCTCACTTGCTCTTTCTGTCTCTCCCTCTCTCTGCCTTCCAGATAAATAAATAAATCATAAAAAAAAATACACACACACAAAAACCTAAGATGAGAAATGAATGGTCAATGATGAATGACAAGTCTAAAGCAGATAAATAGAATAACAGGTTTTGCTATCCTCACGACAAATTTCCTTGCCCAATAAACACCCAATACTCAATTCCCTTTCATCCTTACTAACAGAACCTTGACTTTATTGTGGGTGTCAAGTGCGATTTATTTAGAATTACACTTCTTAGCAGTGAACTTTTTTTTTTTTTTAGATTTATTTCTTTATTTGAAAGGCAGAGTTACAAAGAGGCAGAGGTAGAAAGAGAGAGAGGTCTCCCATCTGCTGCTTCACTCCCCAAATGGCGTCAACGGCTGGAGCTAGGAGCTTCTTCAGGGTCTCCCATGTTGGTGCAGGGGCCCAAGGACTTGGGCCATCTTCCACTGCTTTCCTTGGCCATAGCAGAGAGCTGGATAGGAAGTAGACCAGCTGGGACTCAAACCAGTGCCCATATGGGATGCTGGTACTGCAGGTGGCGGCTTTACCCACTATGCCACAGTGCCGGCCCCAGCAGTAAACTCTTAACTGAGTATGCCCAAGAGGATGTAAGCAGCAGTTGTAGAGGTACCAGAAAAACTTAAAGAAAGATAGACTCAGATCGCAGATCCTTTTGCCTTTCTCCCTTCCTCTCTCCCCTGGCTGGAGTTCAGTGACCATGAAATTAGAAGCTACAAGGGCCGGCACCATGGCTCACTTGGTTAACGCTCCGCCTGCAGCGCCAGCATCCCATATGGGCACCGGGTTCTAGTCCAGGTCGCTCCTCTTCCAGTCCAGCTCTCTGCTGTGGCCCAGGAAGGCAGTGGAGGATGGCCCAGGTCCCTGGGCCCCTGCACCCGCATGGGAGACCAGGAGGAGGCACCTGGCTCCTGGCTTCAGATTGGCACAGTGCGGGCCGTAGCGGCCATTTCGGGTGAACCAACGGAAGGAAGACCATTCTCTCTCTCTCTTTCACTGTCTAACTCTATCTGTAAAAAAATAGAAATTAAAAAAAAGAAATTAGAAGCTACAAACCACTGATGATGCAGCAAAATGTTGGACGAACACTGGACACTAATCATATTATGAAGCCACTGTAGCAGCCTGGAACTCATGAATTTTTATGGAAAAATAAACTTTTATTACAGTGTTTATATCTATTTCTAGCAGCCAAATGCTGTTCTTAACTGATACCAATTTTGTCTTAAATGTTAATCCTGTAGAACTTTTTTTCCCCCAAAATATGCCCAGTAGGTTTTATTTTTCTGGATCTTACCATTTTTATTTTTTTTGATGGGAATATTCTCTTTCACTAAATCTCTTATTGCGGGGGGGCCAGTGCTGTGGTGTAGCGGGTAAAGCTGCTGCCTGTGGTACTGACATCCCATATGGGCATGGGTTTGAGTCCCAGCTGCTCCTGTTCCTATCCAGCTCCCTGCTAATGGCCTGGGAAAGCAGTGTAAGATGGCCCAAGTGCTTGGGCCCCTGCACCCACATGGGAGACCCTAAGAAGCCCCTGGCTCCTAGCTTTGGATCAGCGCAGTTCCAGTGTTGCAGCCATCTGGAGAGTGAACCAGCAGATAGAAGACCTCTCTCTCTCTCTCTCTCTCGCTCTCTCTCTCTGTAACTCTGCCTCTAAAATAAATCAATCTTTTAAAGACTCTCTTTTTTTAATTATTTTTTAAATTTTTTTTTGACAGGCAGAGTGGACAGTGAGAGAGAGAGAGACAGAGAGAAAGGTCTTCCTTTTGCCGTTGGTTCACCCCCCGAAGGCCACTGCGGATGGCACGCTGCATCCGGCGCACCACACTGATCCGTAGCCAGGAGCCAGGTGCTTCTCCTGGTCTCCCTTGCGGGTGCAGGGTCCAAAGACTTTGGGCCATCCTCCACTGCACTCCCTGGCCACAGCAGAGAGCTGGCCTGGAAGAGGGGCAAGTGGGACAGAATCCGGCGCCCCAACCGGGACTAGAACCCTGTGTGGCGGCGCCACAGGCGGAGGATTAGCCTAGTGAGCCGCGGCGCCGGCCTTTTTAAAGACTCTCTTATTGCTAATGTCAAACAACAGAGGCAGAATATGCAACTTTTTTTTTTTTTTTGATAGGTAGAGTGGACAGTGAGAGAGAGAGACAGAGAGAAAGGTCTTCCTTTTGCTGTTGGTTCACCCCCCAATGGCCACTGCGGCTGGCATGCTGCGGCCAGCGCACCGCGCTGATCCGAAGCCAGGAGCCAGGTGCTTCTCCTGGTCTCCCATGCGGGTGCAGGGCCCAAGCACTTGGGCCATCCTCCACTGCACTCCTGGGCCATAGCAGAGAGCTGGCCTGGAAGAGGGACAACCGGGACAGAATCTGGAGCCCCGACCAGGACTAGAACTGGTGTGCCGGCGCCGCAAGGCGGAGGATTAGCCTAGTGAGCAGTGGCGCCTGCCAGAATATGCAACTTAATATGTTAAAAAGAATAGTTTAACACTAATTCCTTTATTCAATCTATGTTAACTTACATTTTTCAAATAAAAGAAGCAGGGAGAACATGCAGTAGTCTTTTAGCTCACACAAGTCATTTGGAACATACATAAGTGAATAAGTTTATCATTATTAAAGTCTCCAAATTAAGGTTATGATTGTTCTCTGAAATTTTCCAAAAAGCAATAAGAAACAACACAGAGAAAAGAAATCATTTTTGGTTGTTTTCCAGATTTAAATGCCATGCGTTAAAAAAAAATATTTTATGGGGCCACATAATTATCTCCCACCAAGCAGTCCCTTAAGAAGAACATAGTATATTCTCAAAACAAGACAAAATAAATATAATCTTTGTTTTCAAACATTTTTCCCGATTAGAAAAGTAATATATTTTCATCATGGAAAAAAATTTTAAGATTGAAAAATATAAATATCAAAGCACATTAACATGTTAGTATATTTCTTTCTGGGCCAGCGCTGTGGCATAGCCAGTTAAGCCCCTGCCTGCAGCACCGCATCCCATGTGGGCTCTGGTTTAAGACCAGGCTGCTCCACTTCTGAGCCAGCTCCCTGCTAATGTGCTTGAGAAAGCAGTGGAAGATGGCTCATATCCTTGGGCTCCTGCCACCCACTTGGGAGATTCAGATGAAGCTCCTGGATCCTGGCTTCAGATTGGCCCAGGTTTGGCTGTTGGGCCATTTGGAGAGTAAACTAGCAGATGGAAAATCTCATTCTCTCTGTCTCTGTTTCTCCCTAACTCTGGCTTTCAAATAAATAAATAAATAAAATATTTTAAAAAGCATATTTATTTCAATTTTTTCTATTAATGTTGTGTAACATGAATAATAGAAATATAAAACAGAAATAGAAATATAAAAATAAAAAGTTTTTAAAAGAAAGGGTATCTTCCTATTAATTTTTTTTAAGATTTATTTATTTAAAAGGCAGAATTAGAGAGTTGGAGAGGCAGAGAGAGAGATCTTCCATCAGATGGTTCACTTCCCTAACGGTTGCAACAGCCAAGGCTGGGCCAGTCCAAAGCCAGGAGCTTCATCCAAGTCTCCCACCTGGGTGGCAGGTGCCCAAGTACTTGGACCATCTGCTGCTTTCCCAGGCCATTAGCAAGGAGCTGGATTGGAAATGGAGAAGCCAGGACTCAAACAGGAGCCCACATGGAATAATGGTGTCACAAGAAGCATCAGGGGCTGGCGCTGTGGCCTAGAGGGTAAAGTGTGGCCTGAGTGTCAGCATTCCATATGGGCATCAATTCAAGTCCTGGGTCCTCCTCTCCCCAAGTCCTTGGGCCCCTGTACCCATGTGGGAGCTCTGGAGGAAGCTCCTGGCTCCCAGCTTCGGATCGGCTGAGCTCTGGACATTGCAGCCATTTGGGGAGTGAGCCAGTAGATGGAAGACCTCTCCCTGTTTCTCCTCTCTCTCTGTGCAACTCTTTCAAATAAATAAATAAATCTTAAAAAAAAAAAAACAAAAAAACAACAGTGACTTTACCTGCTACACCACAGCACCGGCTCCAAGATAATTTTTGTGTGCATTTTCTTATGTCATTAAAACTATTTAAAAACATGTAAAAATAAATAGTTTGAACAAAATAAAATATGCTAATTAGAGACATTTGGGGGAAGAAAAAAACAAAAAAAGAGAAAGGAAAAATAAGAATCCTGGCCGGCGCCGCGGCTCACTAGGCTAATCCTCCGCCTTGCAGCGCCAGCACACCGGGTTCTAGTCCCGGTCGGGGCGCCGGATTCTGTCCCAGTTTCCCCTCTTCCAGGCCAGCTCTCTGCTGTGGCCAGGGAGTGCAGTGGAGGATGGCCCAAGTGCTTGGGCCCTGCACCCCATGGGAGACCAGGAGAAGTACCTGGCTCCTGCCATCGCATCAGCGCAGTGCGCCGGCCACAGTGTCCCGCCGCGGCGGCCATTGGAGGGTGAACCAACGGCAAAGGAAGACCTTTCTCTCTGTCTCTCTCTCTCTCACTGTCCACTCTCCTGTCAAAAAATAAGAAAAAAAAATAAGAAAAATAATCTTTCTTGGGGCTGGCATCGTGGAATAGTAGGTAAAGTTGCTGTCTGCAACACCAGCACCCCATCTGGGTACCAGTTCTATTCCCAGCGGCTCTACTTCTGATCCAGCTCCCTGCTAATGGCTTGGGAAAGCAGCAGAAGATGGCCTAAGTGTTGGGCCCCTGCCACCCATGTGGAAGACCTGGCTGCAGCTCCTGGCTCCTGCTCCTGGCTCCTGGCTTTGGCCTGGCCCAACATGGGCTGTTGCAGCCATCTAAGGAGTGAACCAGCAGATGGAAGACCTCTATCTTTGTCTCTCTCTCTTTCTCTCTCACTCTTTCAAAATAAACAAATAAATCTTAAAAAAAAAAAAGAATCTTCCATATTCCATCACCTACAGATCAACAGCATCAGCACTCCAGTCCTTCTCATGCATAAATACACACAAATGATTGTTTTTTACCAAACTTGGGTGAAATTTTTATCCTATTTTTTTCATTAAATATAAACATTCTCCATGATTATATATATATATACACACACCCATATTTAAAATCATTTGCAAATCTAAGAAATATTCCATTATATATGTATCCATATTATATTTAACCTCACAACCTACTGAGACAGATTGTATTCAATTATAAACTATTATAAATTATGTTGTAATAAAATCTTGGGCACATAAATATTAATTCCTTATGATTTCTAGAAAGGAGTTCTGGGTCAAAGACAGGAACTTTTCAAAGTCTCATAATAACATGTTGCTAAATTATCTTTTAAATAAGAAAAATTTATGTTCCCATAATAGTACACAAGTATAATTTTTCATTCACAGCAACAGGCTCACATAACATACCTGTGTAAATAAAATCTAGAAGTATCCGAAAGATTCCAGCTTCAATCCCTAGAATCTCTACAACATCTTTTGAGGACTCCTTCATTCCTCCAGTGAACAAAGCTGCAAAGTAAGGACTGCTGGCAGCCAAAACCAGCCGATGAACTTTAAAAGTTTCCTGCCCAACTTGCAGCTGGACATCACAGAAATGCTGTCCATTCCTCATTTTATTGATGTGAGCTAAGATGAGTTGGGCATGTTTATCTGATGAAAAAGGACTATCACTAGTCTTAGAAAAGCCTTCAGTAGCCATGATGACAGATTGATTAAAAGAACTGTTATCCATAATCTGCTCCCAACCTGAAAAATAAAATACAAAGATACCCAACATATTTTTGTGTTAAACAATGTCTTCTATTTATACACGTAGCAAGCATTAACTACATTTAACAATATATTTAAGGACATAAAATACACATGAAACATATAAGGTATGGGACTACTTCTAATTTGGTTTCAGAGAAGGAAATAAGTAGTGGAGGTTGAGGGGAGGGGACATGGTCCATTGGGTTAAGCCACCACCTACAACACTGCATCCCATATAGGTAACTGGCTAGTCTCAGCTGTTCCACTTCCAATCCAGCTCTCTGCTAATGTACCTAGAAAAGCAGTGGAGATGGCCCAAGTACTTGAGCCCCTGCCATCCACATTGGAGACCTGAATGCAGTTGCTGGCTCCTGGCTTCAGCTTGGCCCATCCCTGGTTGCTGTAGCCTTTTGGGGAATGAATCAGTGAATAGAACCTCTCCCTCTAAATATATATATATATATATATATATATATATATATATATTATATATATATATATTTTTATATATATATATATATTAGTCTTTAAAAAATAATGGGGGAGGCTGACACTGTGGCATAGCAGGTAAAGCCGCCACCTGCAGTTCAAATCCCAGCTGCTCCACTTACAATCCAGCTCCCTGCTAATGCACTTAGAAAAGCTTTGAAGATGGCCCAAGTCCTTGGGTCCCTGCACCTGCGTGAGAGACCCATGCAGAAGCTCCTGGCTTCAGATTGGTGCAGCTCTGGCCGTTGCAGCCAACTGGGGAGTGAACCAGTAGATGGAAAACCTCTCTCTCTGCCTCTCCTCTCTGTGTGTAACTCTGATTTTCAAATAAAAAAATAAGAATAATTGGAGCATGCTTCACAGAATAAGATCCGAACCAAATACTAAAAGACAAATGGGCACAAGTGTTTAGCTTAGCAGTTAAGAAGCCACTGGGGACATCCCATGCCATACAGCAGTGCATGGGCTGGATTCCCAGATCCATTCCAGATTCTAGATTCCTGCTGATGCACACTCTGGGAGGCAGCAGGTGATAGCTCAAGTACTTGGGTTACTGATCCAGACTGAATTTTCAGCATTTGTGGTGTGAACCAGTAGATGGGAGGTCTCTCTGCCTTTCAAACAAATACATAAAAATTATTTCTAAAACGACAAATGGAATTAAGGCACAAAGAGAGGACATAAACTCTTGGGGTAGAGAAAAGAATATAAGACAAATGGCACAAACAAGTTTTTGTACGTTGTAAAAAGGAAGCACACATCACAGCCAGAATGAAATTTCAAAAAAGCAATAGTTATCAGCCCAAGTGTCTGCTGAAAATCCTTCAAACTGGGGGGGCTGACTTTGTGGCACAACAGGTTAACATGATGCTTGTAATGCCCACATCCCACATCAGAGTGCTGGTTCAAGTCCAGCTGCTCCACTTCCTATCTAGATTTCTGCTAATGTGTCTGAGAAGGCAGGAGATGATGGCCCTGACACTTAGACTCCTGCTACCCATCTAGGAAACCTGGATGGTTCTGTTGCTGTTGCTCTGCTTTTCAAATAAACATTAAAAAAATCTTTCAAATTGTATGATTTTTCCAGCATACAAAGCCCTTCCGGATCTTTGTTAAAATTCAAGACTCTGTCCAAATATAACTTCCTTCAGGAACCCATCCCTGATCCTCTCTAGGAATTTGGGGCTCACTCTGAGCCTTCCGATTACAGCCTATTATCACATTCTACCATCTCACCTGCAGCACACATGCACACTCATGCACTGAAAGATCTTTGAAAAACAGTCCTCCTCTAAGGGCACAGACTATCTCATAGCTATAGCACCAGTCTCTAACACAGATTAGGTTTCTAAATATTTGTGAAGTGAATAACAATGATAAATAAAAGCTTAAATGTTCTTAAACTGTTAGCATTTCCACATTTTATGCCAATCTCACATTAAGAGATGAGAAAAATGATAATCTTGCCCAAGATGGGAGAGAGGGAAACTGAAGTTCAGGTCCCCAAGGATACAATGTTATTTTAATGACAGTCTTCAGTATCTGAATCCAGATCTTACTCTAAGCCTGGGCTTAGAGTATTTCCTACTGTATCACATTGTATAGGAATTATTAGGCTTGGTTATAAAGAAAGGGCTTTGCAACTCAATCATAGATATTTGGCCCTTCGTCTTTAGATTCCTCACGAGCAAACATGACAACAGCCATATTTCAGAACTGTTATCTGGCTCTTTAGAGGAATGAGCTACAGTGTAATGAAGTCATTTTAAACAGCCCTACAGCTTCACCTCTGAGGATCAAAGAGATAAATCCAACTTACCTTCTAAACAAAGAAACCATGAGATGCCATAATACAGAGGTGTGGCAATAAAACAGAGGGGAGTTTAAGATGCCATAAGGTTTTATAATTTAGGCATCAAGGCAAAATGGCAATAAAAGTGACAGAAATTGTGTGGAATGACACTAGAAAACAGTGGTTAAGTTTATAGCATTCAAACTTATCAAAATCAAAACTGATTGTCACAAGTATCTAGGAATTAACTTATTGGGAAATTTGAGATGTTCTAACATAGCTGCTAAAACTTCAGATCAGCATCTACAGAACGTCAATATATTACATTTAACTGGCATATAAAAATAGCATATTTGTCTCTACACAGAACTTTGACCTGCAGATATTATTAAATATGACATGTTTTTTTTTTTTCTGTTTGGGATTTCTCCCTGTCTGCAGACTCTGGTTGGACCCCAGTGGGTTTGATTACAAGGCTCCTGCTTCAAAGCATCAGGTACACCCACTGGGCTGAAACTCGGCCTCCTGCTACAGTAACCAGAGTTCACTGAACATTAACTCTGGCCGCAGAGAGCAGAAACCCCAGTCTGTTGCCTGGTTTCTCATAGACTGCTGATACAACCCCACTGCCCGGGGAGGTACGTATTTCCATATTTCCAAAGGGAAACAGCGCAAGCCGGGGACACTACATGATGGGGATGTAAACCGCAGAGGGATTGAAGGAGACCCAAACTTGAAAAGCAGATTATTAAGAAACGGTGGAGACGCCCAAAGGGACCAAAGACGTTCTGCTGGGCGACCTTGAATTCACTGCCAAGAGCATCTGGAAGCCGCTTCAGCAAAGGGTGTTGTTGAGAATCCCGCGAGGAGCGGCCAAAAACCCCGGGCTTTGTGCTTGAGTCGGGGCCCAGAGAGCGGCCCTAAGCGGCTGCGACACTGAAAGGCTCCTACTCACCCCGGCGCTACCTAAGGGGCAGGTTAAGGATCCCAGACTGCAGAGGGGCGGGGGGCCGCCTGCGGCTTCCCCAGCGGGGGTCGGGGTCGGGGGTGGGGGAGCCGCGGCGGTGTGGAGCCGAGGGAGCTCCGTGAGGGCTAAAACACTGGGAACCTCTGAGCAGCGCCTGAGACGGCAAGAAGAACGGCGAAGGGAAAACCATTTCCAGGGCTCTTCGCTCTCTCGTCTCAGGGGTCCCGAGAGCCGAAGAGGAAGTTCCCACCCCCGTCACAGACGCGCGCGGGCGCAGGCCCTCCTTACCCGCCGCTTCCCTTTCCCGGCGGGCGCCTGCTCAGGTCCTGCGCGCGCAGGCGCGAGCCGGCGCGAGCGCGGGGAGGGCTGGGGCGAGCCGGCGGGGCTGCCTGGGCGGTGCGGTCCCGGAGGGCCCAGACGCAGCCCGGCTGCTGAGAGGTGTCCTGCGTTCGGCGGGGCCCGGCCTTCGACCGCGCGTGTGCGGGGCTCTTCCCGCTCGCGGGTAGCGGGACGGAGAGCGCTCACTGCAGCGGCCCAGGGCCTGCGCCGCCTTGTCACCGACAGCCTCGCAGCTGGTGGCGCCTGGACGGGCGCGGATACCGCACGCGGGGCTTCTCTCTCAGAGCCTGTTCTGTGGCTCCTCCGGGCTGAGGCCGGCACCGGATGATGTCTGCTTTGAGGGAAGGGAAACTACAAAACGCCCAGTTCTTTTCACTGTTGAACCTCCTAATGTGTCGCAGGTGGCTTTCAGACTTTTCTGGACCCCAACCTACAGTGAACAAAAACACTTTTTTTTTACAGAAACTCAGTGCCTCATGCGTGAGTATGTAGTTGTATATATCTAAACCGAAACTTTCACAAAACAGTATTTAGGCACGCACTACGTTTCTGTTTCTTTCGTTATCAAAAATGATAAGAAGGACCTATTACCAGGATACACTGTTGAAGACTTGGAAATGAACGAGATTACTGGGTGGCCTTTTGGTGGAAGGTTGAACATTGTCTGGTAGCTGCTGGAAGGGTTTGAATCCTCCACTAAGCTGTTTTACAAGAAAACTGGTAGTGTTTAATTCTCATACACCTTGTAGAAAAGATACACCAAGCCATTACATTTTATTGACCTATAGGATATTAAATCAGTTTTGCTCCTCTTCACAAATTTATTTTAACGTTCCTGATTCTTAGCAAATTTATACATCATTCCTGTATTATTTTACTGGCTCCCTCATTAATGAGGTAAATATTTGATATATATTTGATATATATTTATATTTGTGTGAAAGTCATTATGTTACTTTTCAGAAAATTATACTTTAACACCACTAAATTTTATGAGTTACTATTGGATTGTACCCAATAATTTGAAAAACATGCTTTACAATACTAGGACCAGTTATGGCAACATAGGGATGGGAATCCAATTTCTGTTCTTGTTTTTCCATAATGTACAATAATTGTCTCAGCCCTGTGTATTGAATAGTTCAGATTTCCCCACTGAACTACAGTGTCAGCTCTGTTTGAGCTAGAATCAATTCTCTATTGAATTCTATTAGTTTATCCTTCCATGCCTTATTATTTTAATTACTGTAGCTTTGCAGTAAGTTTTGATACTTGATGGGACATGCTGCTTCTTTTTTTTTTTCTGGAAGATATATTTGAAAGGCGGAGATAACAGAGCGAGCGAGCTCTTCCACCCATTGGTTCACTCCCCAAATGGCAGCAACTGCTGGAGCTGGGCTGGTCAGAAGCCAGAAGCCAGGAGCTTCATCCAGGTCTCCCATGTGGTTTCAGGGGCCCAGGGACTTGGGCCATCTTCCTCTGCTTTCCCAGGTGCATTAGCAGGGAGCTAGATCAGAAATGGAGCAGCCGGGACTCGAACAGGTGCCCATATGGGATGCTGGCACTGAGGGCAAAGGCTTAGCCTTCTATGCCACAGCATTGGCCCTAGGTTGCTTCTTTTTATTCTTCAACAGTGTCAGAGCTATTCCTGGCACTGTCAATTCTATGTAAATTGTAAGAAGCAATTTGTCAAGTTTCTTACCACATACAACATACACATTCACATTCAAGATGGATTTTTTTTATTAGAATTTCAACAAACCTATAGGGCAATTTGGAGAGAATTAACACCTTTATAATATTGAATCTTCTTATCCATTAACAAAATTAAGTTTTATAAAATTTTAAAATTTTACAAATGTATCATGTATAATTTATGTATCTTCTATTAAATTTATCCCTGTATATGGTTATCTTTGTGCCATTATAAATTATATCTTTTAAAAATTTCATGTTTGTTGTTGGAGTACAGAAATGAAATTCACTTTTGTATATTGATTTTATAGACAGCTACCTTTCTTAACTCCCTTATAAAAGTGATAAAATTATAGAGTTTTAGGGGCTGGCGCTGTGGCATAGTAGGTAAAGCTGCCACCTGCAGTGCTGGCATTCCATATGGGCGCCAGTTTGAGTCTCAACTGCTCCACTTCTGATCCAGTTCTCTGCTATGGCCTGGGGAAAGCAGTAGAAGATGGCCCAAGTCCTTGGGAGACCCAAAAGAAGCTCCTGGCTCCTGGTTTCAGATTGGCACAGCTCTGGCCATTGCAGCTATCTGGGAAGTGAACAAGTGGATGGAAGACCTCTCTCTGTCTCTGCATCTCTGTAACTGTCTTTCAAATAAATAAATAAATCTTTTAAAAAAATATAGAGAGTTTTAAAAAATATTTTTGTGTAAACAGATCATCTGCACATAAACTTTTTTTTTTCTTTTTTTTTTGACAGGCAGAGTTAGAGAGAGAGAGAAAGGTCTTCCTTTTTCCTTTGGTTCATCCCCCAAATGGCCGCTACGGCCAGCGCGCTGTGCTGATCCGAAGCCAAGAGCCAGGTGCTTCTCCTGGTCTCCATGCGGGAGCCGGAGCAGTTGGGCTATCCTCCACTGCTCTCCCAGGCCACACAGAGAGCTAGACTGGAAGAGAAGCAACCAGGACAGAATCTGGCGCCCCAACTGGGACTAGAATCCGGGGTGCTGGCGCATTAAAAAAAAGTTTTGTTTCCTTCTTTCCAAATCTTGTACCTTACATTTACCTTTCTTGTCTTATTCTGCTGGCTAGCAGCTTTAGTGTCAGGTTGATTGCTGAAATAACATCCTAAGAAATTAATGCATAGACTTTGGGGCCAAATATTGAAATCCAAAACCCTGTCCTGCCACTCTCTGAGACCTTAAGAAGTTCTTTAACTTTTTTTTTTAAGTGACATTCTGCAGGTTATAGCTCTGTTTCTTTTATTTATTTATTTTATTTGAAATGCAGAGTCACAGAGAGAGAGAGATGCAGTGAGAGCTACATCCTCTGGTTCACTCCCTAAATGGCTAAAATAGCCTGGGCTGGGCCAGACTGAAACCAGGAGCCAGGAGCTTCATCTGGGCCTTCCATTTGAGTTCAGGGGCCCAAGGACCTGGGCTGTCCTTCACTGCCTTCCCAGCCACACTAGCAGGGAGCTGGATGAGAAGTGGAACAGCTGGGACTCACACTCAAACCAATGTGCACATGGGATGTTGGCATTACAGGTGGTAGATCAACCCACCACACCACAATACCAGACCCCATTAGTTCTTTTATAACCCATATTTCTTAAACTATGTCTGACTGTTGTATCATTCTTTTTAATGGTTATAATTTTATCATGTTTTCTGTTTATTCTTAATCAGACTCTTGTATTTGCTTCCTTTTTTTCTTCTTGACAGGCAGAGTGGACAGTGAGAGAGAGACAGAGAGAGAAAGGTCTTCCTTTGCCGCTGGTTCACCCTCCAATGGCCGCCGCTGCAGCCGGCGCACCGCGCTGATCCTGGCAGGAGCCAGGATCCAGGTGCTTTTCCTGGTCTCCCATGGGGTGCAGGGCCCAAGCACCTGGGCCATCCTCCACTGCACTCCCTGGCCATAGCAGAGAGCTGGCCTGGAAGAGGGGCAACCGGGACAGAATCCGGCGCCCCAACCGGGACTAGAACCCGGTGTGCCGGCGCCGCAAGGTGGAGGATTAGCCTATTGAGCCACGGCGCCGGCTCTTAAATCAGTTTTGCTAATTTATATTTTTCTAGAAATTTGTCCCATTTAATTACATTTTAAAGTTCTTTAGTACATATTATAAACAATATTGTTTATAATCTCAAATTTTAATTTCTGCTGTACTTGTAGTTACAGCAACCTTCATTTCTAATTTTTTAAAGAGATTTATTTATGTATTTATTCAAAAGTCAGAGTTACACAAAGAGATGAGAGGCCACTTCCTGTCCAGCTCTCTGCTGTGGCCTGGGAAAGCAGTAGAAGATGGCCCAACTCCTTGGGCCCCTGCACCCATGTGGGAGACCCAGAGGAAGCTCCTGGCTCCTGGCTTCGGATCGGCACAGTTCCGGCTGTTGTAGCCAATTGGGGAGTGAACCACTGGATGGAAGACCTCTCTCTCTCTCTGCCTCTCTCCTCTCTCTCTGTAATTCTGACTTTCAAGTAAAAATACATTAAAAAAAAAAAAAAAGAGGCAGAGAGGTGGTTTAACTTTCTGCACCACAATGCCAGTCCCCGCAATAATACAATAATTTTTTAAATTATTTTTTTCCTGTTCTGGATAAGTTCTTTTATTATTTTTTTGGGGGGGAGGTAAAATAGCAAGGTTTATTAGAGAAGGGACATCTGTAAGGATGGATGGGCACCTTTCCAGACAGAGCCAGAGAGACTGGGGGTGTGGGGGAGGAAAAGGAGCGAGGTTACATGGTTGAGTGCAGAGATTACACCTGGCCAGACCAGGCGGGCGACTCAGCAGAGAGGCAGAGGGCTGAGCGCCTTTTTTGTTTGTTTGTTTAAGATTTATTTGATTTGGCCAGCACCACGGCTCACTAGGCTAATCCCTCCGCCTTGCGGCGCCGGCACACCAAGTTCTAGTCCCAGTCAGGGCACCGGATTCTGTCCCGGTTGCCCCTCTTGCATGCCAGCTCTCTGCTGTGGCCTGGGAGTGCAGTGGAGGATGGCCCAAGTGCTTGGGTCCTGCACCCGCATGGGAGACCAGGATAAGCACCTGGCTCCTGCCTTCGGATCAGCGTGGTACGCCAGCCGCAGCGCAGTGGCCGCAGCGGACATTGGAGGGTGAACCAATGGCAAAGAAAGACCTTTCTCTCTGTCTCTCTCTCTCTGTCCACTCTGTCTGTCAAAAAAAAAAAAAAAAAAGATTTATTTTATTTATTTGAAAGAGTTACAGAGAGAGGTAGAGACAGAAAGAGAGAGGTCTTCCATCTGCTGGTTCACTCTCCAGATAGCTGCAACAGCTGGAGCTAAGCTGATCCAAAGCCAGGAGCCGGGAGCTTCTTCTGGGTCTCCCATGTGGGTGGAGGAGCCCAAAGACAGGCCATCTTCCACTGCTTTCCCAGGCAATAGCAGAGAGCTGGATGGGAAGTGGAGCAGCTGGGACTAGAACTGGCACCCATATGGGATGCTGGCACTGCAGGCAGTGGCTTTACCTGCTAAGCACAGTGCCAGCCCCTCAAGAATGGTTTTTTGAAGGGAAACACTTGTG